TAGGAATACTGATTTTCTTGCCCTGAGGGCAGGAGATGATGTAACAGTAAATCCTTGAGCAGTAAGAGTAGTGGTGGCTTCTGTGGTAACTTCTCTGCTTCAGCATCATCGTGACATACAACAATGAATGCTTCTTTCGGTGACAAAATAGCATTAAATTTCACTTGCAATGCTCCCTGCACAACAGTGGCAAGAGCAAGCTTCGTTGAATCATCAACGGTACCACTTTTTGGCTTGATCTTTACACGATTTGTGTAGCTCATCGTGCAAGTCAAGGCGAAGACGATGCTGGTTGTGTGTCTGTGTCGAATTTCCCTTTGTAGATACCTAACATTAAAACAGCAATTTATAATAATAATAGTAGTAATAATAATGTGTATAATAATAATAGTCATACAACGTCTGATAAATTGAAGATAATCAATATTGATCCAAGGAAGGGAAACGTAACTCCGACAACTTGGATCAAGCCTCTTCACACACTCCCTATCCCCTTGAAGATTTCTGATGGTAGAGCACAATGTTATTAATGCCTGAACACGAAGTACCAACAGTAAGTTACGTTGCATGACAGTCTCACTTTATATAAGCAATCTATATGGTAGAAGAGTGAGGAAGATTCTTGTTATGTAACAGTTCAGTGAGATCAACACCTCAGACTGACTTGTGAGATCAACACCTCAGACTGACTTGTGAGATCAACACCTCAGACTGACTTGTGAGATCAACACCTCAGACTGACTTGTGAGATCAACACCTCAGACTGACTTGTGAGATCAACACCTCAGACTGACTTGTGAGATCAACACCTCAGACTGATTTGTGAGATCAACACCTCAGACTGACTTGTGAGATCAACAGCTCAGACTGACTTGTGAGATCAACACTCACCACTCACAGATGTGTGCTCCACTATCTCTCGCATTCACCATTCACAGGTGTGTGCTCCACTATCTCTCACATTCACAGCTGTGTGCTCCATTATCTCTCACATTCACCACTCACAGGTGTGTGCTCCACTATCTCCCACACTCACCACTCACAGATTGTGCTCCACTATCTCCCACACTCACCACTCACAGATTGTGCTCCACTATCTCCCACACTCACCACTCACAGATTGTGCTCCACTATCTCCCACACTCACCACTCACAGGTGTGTGCTCCACTATTTCCCACACTCACCACTCACAGATTGTGCTCCACTATCTCCCACACTCACCACTCACAGATTGTGCTCCACTATCTCCTACACTCACCACTCACAGGTGTGTGCTCCACTATCTCCCACACTCACCACTCACAGGTGTGTGCTCCACTATCTCCCACACTCACCACTCACAGATTGTGCTCCACTATCTCCCACACTCACCACTCACAGATTGTGCTCCACTATCTCCCACACTCACCACTCACAGGTGTGTGCTCCACTATCTCCCACACTCACCACTCACAGATTGTGCTCCACTATCTCCCACACTCACCACTCACAGAGTGTGCTCCACTATCTCCCACACTCACCACTCACAGATTGTGCTCCACTATCTCCCACACTCACCACTCACAGATGTGTGCTCCACTATCTCCCACACTCACCACTCACAGATTGTGCTCCACTATCTCCCACACTCACCACTCACAGGTGTGTGCTCCACTATCTCCCACACTCACCACTCACAGATTGTGCTCCACTATCTCCCACACTCACCACTCACAGAGTGTGCTCCACTATCTCCCACACTCACCACTCACAGATTGTGCTCCACTATCTCCCACACTCACCACTCACAGGTGTGTGCTCCACTATCTCCCACACTCACCACTCACAGATTGTGCTCCACTATCTCCCACACTCACCACTCACAGGTGTGTGCTCCACTATCTCCCACACTCACCACTCACAGATTGTGCTCCACTATCTCCCACACTCACCACTCACAGGTGTGTGCTCCACTATCTCCCACACTCACCACTCACAGATTGTGCTCCACTATCTCCCACACTCACCACTCACAGATTGTGCTCCACTATCTCTCACATTCACAGCTGTGTGCTCCATTATCTCTCACATTCACCACTCACAGGTGTGTGCTCCACTATCTCCCACACTCACCACTCACAGATGTGTGCTCCACTATCTCCTATATTCACCACTCACAGATGTGACTTGCGTTCTCTAGACCATGTATTATTCATAATTATTTAATTAATGAGGTATCGTTAAACATGTTAGGGATATAACATAAGCAGAGTGGAGAACTACAGTAGGCCTTCTGGCCTAGGCTAGGCATGTTCAAATAACACCCAAGCCTACTCGTCTAACTTTTAAAGTTGCCCAAAAATGCTACTTGGGAGTGCTTCACACTCAAACACAACTATTGCTAAACCAGTGTTTTCCTACATCCTTTCTAAATCTAAAGTTTTCTAATTTATATTTCTAGTTGGCAGTTCTCTCTGGATTAATTTATTCATGAAACTATTTGCATCACTTTTGTTTTTCATTTGTAAACTTCATAATTTTTCCCTAAAAATCAACGTGTTTCTTCAGATTGAAAATTCAGTTTCTCCAGCCTGTTTTCGTAACAAAAATTTTCTTTTTATTCTGGGATAATCTTTGTCATTCCTTTCTGAATGTTTTCCACTGTTCTTATGTACATTCAGGAATATAGAGACCAGAACTGAGCAGCATAATTTGAAAGAGGTCTTAAGATATTTAAAGATGGAGAATATTGGTAGGATTTCTATTATTTATGTTTTTTGATGTGAAGCCAAGACTTCTATAAGCTTAATCATAGAAGCTTATGCACTCTTGTTTTGGCTTCAGATATCTGCTAACCAGTACACTGAGTCTTTCTCGCACTTTCATAAAGAACATTATTTTTTGTTATGAGACTTCTAGTAATTTTCTTTTCCCGGGATTAGGGCCTTACATTTGTCTGTAGTTAACTACAAATACCACATCAACCAACCCAGACAATCCTGCACCTCCCAGATATTTTTATCTAAAGTTATTTGACATTCTAGTTTTGTAACATCGGTGATCTTGCTAACTGGGCTGCTTGTCCTCTCATATACTATGTAGATTGTGAACAAGTACCCCAATGTTGACCCACCACTAACAATGTTGACCCACCACTAACAATGTTGACCCACCACTAACAATGTTGACCCACCACTAACAATGTTGACCCACCACTAACAATGTTGACCCACCACTAACAATGTTGACCCACCACTAACAATGTTGACCCACCACTAATAATGTTGACCCACCACTAATAATGTTGACCCACCACTAACATGTTGACCCACCACTAATAATGTTGACCCACCACTAACAATGTTGACCCACCACTAACAATGTTGACCCACCACTAATAATGTTGACCCACCACTAATAATGTTGACCCACCACTAATAATGTTGACCCACCACTAACAATGTTGACCCACCACTAACAATGTTGACCCACCACTAATAATGTTGACCCACCACTAATAATGTTGACCCACCACTAATAATGTTGACCCACCACTAATAATGTTGACCCACCACTAATAATGTTGACCCACCACTAATAATGTTGACCCACCATTAACAATGTTGACCCACCACTAACAATGTTGACCCACGACTAACAAAGTTGACCCACCACTAATAATGTTGACCCACCACTAATAATGTTGACCCACCACTAATAATGTTGACCCACCATTAACAATGTTGACCCACTACTAACAATGTTGACCCACCACTAACAATGTTGACCCACCACTAACAATGTTGACCCACCACTAACAATGTTGACCCACCACTAGCAATGTTGACCCACCACTAACAATGCTGACCCACCACTAACAATGTTGACCCACCACTAGCAATGTTGACCCACCACTAACAATGTTGACCCACAACTAATAATGTTCACCCACCACTAACAATGTTCACCCACCACTAACAATGTTCACCCACCACTAATAATGTTGACCCACCACTAACAATGTTCACCCACCACTAATAATGTTGACCCACCACTAATAATGTTGACCCACCACTAATAATGTTGACCCACCACTAATAATGTTGACCCACCACTAATAATGTTGACACCACCACTAATAATGTTGACCCACCATTAACAATGTTCGACCCACCACTAACAATGTTGACCCACGACTAACAAAGTTGACCCACCACTAATAATGTTGACCCACCACTAATAATGTTGACCCACCACTAATAATGTTGACCCACCATTAACAATGTTGACCCACTACTAACAATGTTGACCCACCACTAACAATGTTGACCCACCACTAACAATGTTGACCCACCACTAACAATGTTGACCCACCACTAGCAATGTTGACCCACCACTAACAATGTTGACCCACCACTAACAATGTTGACCCACCACTAGCAATGTTGACCCACCACTAACAATGTTGACCCACAACTAATAATGTTCACCCACCACTAACAATGTTCACCCACCACTAACAATGTTCACCCACCACTAATAATGTTGACCCACCACTAACAATGTTCACCCACCACTAATAATGTTGACCCACCACTAACAATGTTGACCCACCAATAACAATGTTGACCCACCACTAATAATGTTGATCCACCAATAACAATGTTGACCCACCAATAACAATGTTGATCCACCAATAACAACGTTGACCCACCAATAACAATGTTGACCCACCAATAACAATGTTGACCCACCAATAACAATGCTGACCCACCACTAATAATGTGCAAGCTTGCTGCTGGGGAGTGCAGGCCAGAAGGTGGGGGGAGACCGGGCTCTTGGTGACAGGTTACCTGCTTGAGAAAAAAGGCTAACTGCTGAGCATGGCATTACATCTCCTGAGGGGGATGTGACATGTGAGGATGGAGGGCAGGTTAGTTGCTGGGATAAAGGGGCAAGGAAGCGCAGAATGAGAAGGTTAGTGCTAGTTGAGGCTAGCTCTGCTGAGGGTGCCAGAAGCCATCAACTTGTGTATGTGTGTTTTTCTTACAGCACTATGCGACTGCTAGTGGTGCTGTTCTTGCCTACTATCCTGATTGCTGCCCTGGCTGGCTGCAGGATGGTGGAGGCAAAGCTGCCACCACCTGACAAGTCCTACAAATTCCTGGTTGCCATCCCTGCAGTCAGAAGGAACCACTGGAATATGTTCAAGCCTCTCCTAATAGCACTGGCTAACCGTGGACATAAGGTACGACCTTGGCTCTTTATGGGTGTCACTAAATTATTATTAGTAGTATCAGTATTTTTATTATTATTTCTGTTGTTATTACTGTCTTTTCTGAACAAGCCATTTTATTAGGCAAGAGTTCTTTATTTATTCGATAACTTTTCCTGGCATTTACCTTTATAAATTTGTATTGTTAAGAAACATACAAATAAGGAACCATGTGAAGTCGGCGCCAGCTATGAACCAGACTCCAGGCCAGCTTACGCGCTAACCTGAGAGTTTTAAGACCATGCTATATATAAACTAAATAATGTAGATCTTAATATTACGGATTGCGAAAAGGATTTAGGAGTTCTGGTTAATAGTAATCTAAAACCAAGACAACAGTGCATTAGTGTTCGCAATAAAGCTAATAGAAGTCCTCAGGTTGTTCTTCAAATCTATATATCTTTGGTTAGGCCTCATTTGGATTAAGCTGCGCAGTTTTGGTCACCGTATTTCAGAATGGATATATATGCACTGGAAAACGTACAAAGGAGGATGACAAAGTTAATCCCATGTATCAGAAATCTTCCCTATGAGGATAGACTGAGGGCTCTGAATCTGCACTCTCTAGAAAGGCGTAGAATTAGGGGGGATATGATTGAGGTATATAAATGGAAAGCAGGAATTAATAAAGGGGATGTAAATAGCGTGCTGAAAATATCTAACATAGACAGAACTCGCAGCAATGGCTTTAAATTGGAAAAATTCAGATTCAGGAAGGATATAGGAAAACACTGATTTGGTAACAGAGTTGTGGATGAGTGAAACAAACTCCCGAGTACCGTCATAGACGCCAAGACATTGTGTATTTTTAAAAATAGGTTGGATAAATACAGGAGGGGGTGTGGGTGGATGTGAGTTGTACCTGAACAGCTACTAGGTCGGACGCAGTGCTCCTCCCGTAAGTGACGTGTCTGACCTCACTAGGTTAAGGCATTGGCTTGAGCCGGTGGGGAGAATTGGAGCTGCCTCGCATGGACCAGTAGGCCTGTTGCAGAGTTCCTTGTTTCTTATGTTCTTATGAGGGCAAATATTCTATTAGTGGGATGGATCTGTGAAGGACCTGCCTAGTATGGGCCAACAGGCCTGCTGCAGTGTTCCTCCTTTCTTATGTTATGTTCTTGCCACGAGTTCAAGCCCCACCCGTACCGTGGTTTGATTAGGTATGTGGACAGCATGTTAGGGTGAAAAGTCACTTAAAGTGTGCAGGTGATGTCATTGGGGATATGTGGCCGTGAGGGATTGGTGGTTGTGGGGATAACGGAATAGGTGTAAGCGTGTGACCATGTGGGGAATTGTATGGGGGTGGGTTGTTGGTTAACATAAGAACATAAGAAGGAACATTGTAGCAGGCCTAATGGCCCATGCTAGGCAGGTTCAAGTCAGCTACTGGCCCAAGCTACTGGCCTAAGCTAGTTAGGCCCAGTTGAATTAGACACATGTGACCTGTACCTTGCTCAGTGAAGATCTGTCTAGTGTACTCTCTGTGGACTGAACCAAGATGCCCTCTATTGAGAAACTTTACCATCAACTTAAGGAGGAGCTAAGGGTGGCTAAGCTCGAGATACGAATTGTGAAGGACCTGTCCATACTAGGCAGGTCCTTCACAATCCCACTAACAGAATATTTGCCCATCCCATTTTCAATGCTACCCAAAGCAATAAGCTTTGATAACGACTCACATTCGTCTGGTAGCACAGAGAAAGGGTTTGAAGTTTCCACAGCAGTCTCTTACTTCTTCATTTCTACCTCTCCATTCCTCTTAATCTTCAACTTCGTTCCACACTGTCTGGCCACTACCCAGGATCCTTTCTTGATCTAAGGACTCACAACAGAACTACGAATCCTCATGTTTTCCTCCATCAATCACTGTATCTCGAGCTTAACCATCCTCAGTTCCTTCTTAAGCTGCTGGTAAAGTTGCTCAATGGAGGGTATCTAGGTTCTGGGGGAAAAACAGTGAAGTTCCAGCGTAGTAATGCTGTGAGTTTTAGGGGAACCAGTAATAGGTAAAATGAGGTGGATATTGGAAAGCCAGTCTGCAAGCATTCTTTTGCCCCATTTGCTCTGGTACCATATTTCCATGGCTGAAATATCTTGGCGAAACCTTTCATCGTGTTCGTCACGAACTGCCCCACAGTTCGCTGGAAAAAAGTCTAAATGCGAGTCCAAAAAGTGGATTTTAAGTGACATGTCACATCCCATGTTCTTGTAAGCCTTGATGAGGTTTTCCACCAATTCTTCATAGTTGCCTTCCCTTCTGTTTCCGAGAAATCCCTTTGCCACTAACCTGAATGCTTCCCAAGCAGCTTTCTCCTCCCCAATGAAGGTCTGATTCAGTCACCATCTTTAAGCTCTTGAATCTGAGGACCATTGAAGACACCCTCTCTTATCTTAGCATTGCTCATTGAGGGGAATTTTGATGTTAAATACTTGAATTCCTGACTGGATTTGTCCATAGCTTTTACAAAGTTTTTCATGAGCCCCAGTTTTGTGTGTAATGGTGGTAGGAAAATTTTGTTTAGTTCATTGAGAGGTGGATGTTGAACATTTTTCATCCCAGGCTCCAATGACTGACTAGGCGACCAGTCTCTCCTGATGTAGAGCGAACTTCTTGCACGGCTGTCACATTCACATAGAAAGCAGCAGTACTTTGTGTATCCACCCTGCAAGCCCATCACAAGAACAACAACCTTTAAGTCACCACAGAGTTGCCATTGATGTTCATCATATTTCATGCAGTGCAACATATGCTTTATAAAATTAATATACAATGCCTCACATGCATATCAATAGCTTGATCAGTGAATATTTATTATAAGTTTAAAATTAAACTTATAAATTACCTACCTTTCACCTCAAAATATCAACTTACACAGGTCTGCCACCTTCTATGACTGCTGGAACAATAATGAAGGTCAGTAAGACTGAGTGTGGTAAGAAACACTGCCGCGAGCCTGTTGGAACCTGTTGCGACACGTAGGTGTGTATTGAAAAATAGAGCTAACAAACAATTTTAACCATGATATTCATTATCAGTGACCTAAAATTAGCTGGAAATTGCTACTCTGGTCTCGGAAGCATTTTTGTTGTTGACCAGTGTTATTTATACTTCTTGATATGAAGCCAAGAATTCTATTCGCTTTATTGCGAATACTTACACACTGTTGTCTTGGGATGGTGTAGGCTGTGGGAAAGCTGTATGAGTGGAGGTTACTGTCTGAAATGGTGTGTGTGAAGATATGTGGCCGTGGATGAATTGTATGGGTGGCAGGTAGAGGTGGGAGAGACAGGAATGAGTTACAGGCATGGTGTCGCAATCAGGAATTTCAGCTTAAGGGAACTTATCAAAGATTTCCAAGAAGCTGAAAATGTACGAACATGTGGGAAGTAAGAGTCCATTAGCCCCTTCCAGGAGGGTTAAGGCCCTCAGAGGGCTGAGAGATACCCCGTTTACTGGAGAATTTTCTCCACACATGGTATGGGTGAAGGCATGTGGCAGTGGGGGACCGGTGATAGGGGCCGGTGGTATGGGTAGCGGTTGTGCTCAAAGGGGTTGTTGCCTGGTGTTCAGCGAGGGTATATCCATGGGAGGGGAGGGGGTGGCACGGGATTTGCATCAGACGTATATCAACTGTCTCAAGCACTAGTGAGCCTCAGCTCTTCCTTGTGGGATAACCTCCTCCTACTTTGTAACATACCAAATGTTGATTTTAATATATTAATAAGAATAATTATATGATTTTTATTATGATTACATTATTTAATGATTTTTCGTTGTTTTCTTTAGAAACATAGGATGAGGTTAAGATTTATATTATAAAATGTTAACTGATAACTGTTTTTTGGTAACCTTAACTAATATTCCAAATATTTTTGATGGTTGTGGAGAAATTTTCTCCAGGAGGGGGGTATTAGGCCCTTCAGCCCTCTCAGAAGGGGCAAGCATCTTGTTTACTGCTATAGCAAGTAATTGATCCCAGATGCAGTACGAGTATGTGACGTGGTCAAGCGACCGCCGTTCCTTGCAAGAAACCAATGTTGCAAGTAGCTTAGTTTAATAAGAGACAGTCCATCTCTTACCTTAGCAGGACAATTAAGGAAAATCCTGCTCCCACTTTATTACCATGGTAAAGATAGTGTACATTGTTGTCTATGCTTAAGACAGCAAGAATCAAACATTCTGCTTTGCTTCATAGTGGAGTTTGGCAAGGAAGCAAAAATTACTAGGTCAGCTTTTCCTTTATGCTGGGGACAAGTGAGGGCGGGGAGACGCTGTGAGGTCAGATTAACTTTGACCCTACTGGGATTCACACTGACACGGGAATAACCAACAAAGAACACCGATCCATGTGTTAGTGTGAACAAAGTGTCTCACAAAACACAATAAACACTTACAGAGAAGTGTGATCAGCTTCTTTAGTAAACAGATTGAGAATAATAAAGACAAACCTTGTGGAACATTGTACCAGTGTGTGTATTCCTAGACTATGGAAGACGTGGACAGCCAAGGACACTTCAGCTTCTATCAAGTCAATGATATCTGTTGAGGGTGTGAAGAACACCATAGCTCACGCTACAGGAGCAAGGTAGGTTACGAATTATCTTGTAATACAGGGGACTGCGAAGTTCTTGTGCCGCAAGGAGTTTGTAATCAACTTATAGTCGGCTATGAGGTGCGGACTTTTGAGTCCACACAAGTAAGTTTTCCAGTCAGCAATCAGTTTTGGAAATACGCTGACATATTACCCCCTAGGGATAATTTTTTATTAATATATTTACTTTCCAGCCCATTGAGAAGTGGCTACAACAACGACAGCTGTCTATCAAACTAAGTTCCCCCTAATCAAGGTAAGAATATTTTAATAGTAGGTGATTCTCAGGTAAGATATATGGACCGTGCATTTTGTAACAGAGACAGAAAGGTCTGACAGAGTGTGTTTTCCTGGAGCTGGTGTTGGCGACATAGTCAGCAG